TGGTTGTCCCACCTGGTGACGGAAGCTTGCGTTGCTTCCAAAACGTCGTGATTTAATTTGACCATTTATATTTTTTATTCTTATTTTTTTATTTTCACATACGCGACTTATTTCCCGAAAGAACCAAACAGCACCTTCTTTGATTCTTTCGGTAAAGTCACGTAGAATGAGAATAAAATAATAAATTGATAAAATAAAATGACGCAATTTATTATTTTATTAACCACTCTCCGTGACTTTACCGAAAGAACCATAGAAGATGAATCCTTGCAGTCACGAAAGCTTTAAATCGAAATCAAACAGCACGTTCAGCAATCTTTGGCACGACCGTTCGCGTTAGCCCGAACCGTGCTGATCGGAGGTGGAGAACAAACTGAACACAAACGTCAGCTCTGCGTAGCGAGGCCTGCACTCGCAGCTGTGGGAGACATTCTCCCCGGGAAACCAGAGGTTAAAAACCGGCGCAGAACGGGGGAGAGGAGTGGGGTGTTGGGTAGAAGACACAAACACAAGTCGGCAGTGGAACCCAGGTTCCCGCCGGCTGCCAGTCACCACTGCGCCCTCTGTGCCGCAGCTGGGACACAAAAAACAACAACAACCAAGGACCTCCCTGGACGCGAGAAGACCATTCATTGCAGGACAATGCGCAAGGCCACTGCGTCCGTTATATGCGGTCTGTAGTTGTCTCATCTGCTGCTCTTAACCGATGGATAAATCCAAAAAAGAAACACGCACGCGTCCGACTGTTATAATAGACAATCAGGCACGTGTTGCAGATAGCGCCACGTTGGCTAGGAGATGTTAACTACCTCGCCTGGTATACAGGAGGTCCGTGGGTTCGATCCCGACCCCGACGCCTGCTGCTGCTGCTGTATATTTGGAGTTTGCGTGTCTCTCTCTCATCATCATCATCACGGTGGCTAGGAGATGTTAACTACCTTGCCTGGTATACAGGAGGTCGTGGGTTCTATCCCGACCCTGACGCCTGCTGCTGATGTATATTTGGAGTTTGTGTCTCTCTCTCATCATCACGGTGGCTAGGAGATGTTAACTACATCGCCTGGTCTACAGGAGGTCCGTGGGTTCAATCCCGACCCTGACGCCTGCTGCTGCTGTATATTTGGAGTTTGCGTCTCTCTCTCTCTCTCTCGCTCCCCGTAGTCGCGTGGAATTTTTCTCTGGGTACCTCCGGTTTTCTCCTCCACATTTAGAATCAGCGTCACCACGCGTTTAGAGAATTTGGTTCCTGCTGTAATAAAAAAAATCTAAAACAATAAAATTATCACGACGTTTCGACTGCAACACAAGCAATCATCATCAGGTGTGACTTTATCGAAAGAACCAAGAATATGAATCCCTGCAGTCACGAAAGATTTAAATCAAAATATTTTCGAACTATTTTTTGTTTTACCAAGAAAATCCCACAGCGATATAGTAGTTTTTTTCTTCTTCCAGAAGATACCTGGCTGTCACAAATGATAGCTCACCATCACGTGTACATTTATAGCAGCAGCCAAAGGCTCCATAAACGCGTGATGTTGATTCGAAGTGTGGAGAGAAAACCCGGAGGAACCGGAGATAAATCCACACGAAAGAGAGAGAGGGAGACACGCAAACTCCAAATATACAGCAGCAGCAGGCGTCAGGGTCGGGATCGAACACCACGACCACCTGTAGACCAGGCGAGGTAGTTAACATCTCATAGCCACAGTCCACTGCTCTCGCGAGATAGACCACATTCCCACATTATGCAATGGTGCCAAAATCTCAATATAATTCGTGTTCTCTCGATATAAAACGTGAGTTTATTATTCTGGCAGTAAATCGTTTGTGTGTAATTATTGAATGGGCGGGGGAGGGGGGGTTTGTCTGTTACACGATAGCTACTAACGGGGTGTGACTGTCACGGTGTGCATGTGCCAATGTATAATAACAACAACAATAACAAACTGCGTGAACGGGGAAAACCAGTTTGGAAATGTGATTCTAATCGTCCCCCCCCCCTACATCCTCCCCCCATGATGGTGGTGGGATAAGACGAGGGTCATTGCTCGAAACGTCGTCTTATGATATATATTCCGTTTTAAAGCCGGGGTGTTATTGACGACCGTGTTGGGTGTTATGTTATTGTGATATACAAACGTGAATAAAATACATTTAACATTCAGCCATTTCAATGCTAAATGATATGCTAATTCCTTTGTCAAGGCGCTTTGTTCCTCTCACACAGCTTAAAGGCCGTGATCTGAACGTGGCTCTTTCACTCCAGCGCTGTCCTACCAGACAGTCTCGTCCCTTCACCTGATGAAGGCCGCTTGTGTTGTGGCCGAAACGTCGTGAGAATATTATTGTGTTATTTTATTTTATCAATTTATTATTTTATTCTCATTCTACGTGACTTTACCGAAAGAACCAAAGAAGATGAATCATTGCAGTCATGAAAGCTTTAAATCGAAATTTAAGTATACCAGTGTCAGTTTTTGTCAGTTTTTTGTGCCAGTTAAAAGGGTAAAACCTATTACTATATCTTGTTACTGGCAAAGAAGGTATCATCATGTAAATGCTCACCCCGAGCCCTCAATACTCTGATAGTGCGCTGTTTTTGAGTTGTACGCCTTTTGGCGTCATCTGGTCCAACACCAGTGGAGAGACTAAGGGCTCTAAAGAAAGCCGTCTCGGGTGTGGACCAATCAAATTCAAGGACAGTGCCAATATTATTATCAGAGTTGTCTCTTTTTTGTTTGCATTTTGACTGCTTGTGTTGCGGTTAGTGCAGACATGATGCCTTGAATAAAGGTGTCAGTTTATTTTTTGTGCCAGTTAAAAAGGGTAAAACCTATTACTGTAAAGAAGTGAGTTTGTCAAACTCGATGATGATGATGATGGTGGTGACGAGTTAAAAGTGCTGAGCTCCCAGTGACTTCCTGAGATCGGAAGGAAGAGCGGCTCCAGGCCACCGCTCCGCACGCGTGGCCTGCGACCCCAGCAATGTGGAGGCGGTCGCAGCGAGGGTTAGTGGATCACGAACAGATGGGCGGTGGAATTCCCTTCTAAGCGTGGGTGGGCTTAGGGGCCGTTCATAAATGACGTCACGCGATTTTGGACGATTTTTGACCACGCCTCGCCCTCGTCACACGGCGTCACAGACCCCCCCCCCCCTCAAGTATGACGTCACAAAGCTCTGCTCCTCCCCCCCCACCCAAAAAAATAAAATAAATCATGCTTCAAATCTCTTTAAACGATTGTCATTGTAGTTGCGTATTTAATGTGGCGCTGCACTCTGATGCTGTAGGAGAAAACATTTATTTTAAAAAAAGTCTATTTAATTAAGTAGAACGTGTTGTCTATATTTATTTATAAAGTTGCGCATTTTGATGCGACGTCACATTTCTACCCCCCCCCCCCTCACTCGTCACACATCGTCACACATCGTCACCAATGTCCCCATCTGTTACATCTCACTCCCCTCTACACCCGTGGGTTGGTGGGTGTGTGGGTGGTACAGCAGCAAAGTGTGTGGACTAAGTTCCATCTGTTCCATCTCATTCCCTTCTACACCCGTGGGTGGGTGGGTGTGTGGGTGGTACAGCAGCAGAGTGTGTGGACTAAGCTCCATCTGTTCCATCTCAGTCCCTTCTACACCCGTGGGTGGGTGGGTGTGTGGGTGGTACAGCAGCAGAGTGTGTGGACTAATCCCTATCTGTTCCATCTCACTCCCTTCTACACCCGTGGGTGGGTGGGTGGTACAGCAGCAGTGTGTGTGGACTAAGCTCCATCTGTTCCATCTCACTCCCTTATACACCCGTGGGTGGGTGGGTGGTACAGCAGCAGAGTGTGTGGACTAAGCTCCATCTGTTCCATCTCACTCCCTTCTACACCCGTGGGTGGGTGGGTGGTACAGCAGCAGAGTGTGTGGACTAAGCTCCATCTGTTCCATCTCACTCCCTTCTACACCCGTGGGTGGGCGACGAGGAGGAGCGGTGCTCCCTGGCCCTGCCGACAGACGGTACAGCAGCAGAGTGTGTGGACTAATCCCCATCTGTTTCATCTGTACGGGATTGAGCGTTTCCCCCTCGCTCGTAGCACATCAGAATAATAATAATGACCTCTCGAGCGGAGTTATACATTTTTTGCTAATATCAACGTAATTAGCGTTTATTAGCGAGATAATTAGTTTATTATTAATGCCAAGAAAAACGTGTATTATGTAATGTGTTGATGCTAGTATTATGTTGTGCAGAGCAGTTTGTAGTTATACTACAGAAAGACCCATCATAAAATAATGTTAATTGCATGTTGATTGCATAAACAGTATGCTAATCTAATCAACATTATATCACATCATGTTAATGTAACCAACATAATTATATTAATTTAAACATCGTAATATTGCATAATGTTAATTTAATCAACACAATATTGCATAAAATTAATTTAACCAACACAATATTACGTAAAGTTAATTTAACCAACATTATATCGCATTATGTTCATTTTATTTAACAAATTATATTGCTTTATTTGAAGTTAAGTAAAATTAAGTTTTATGTGAATTAAATCGACGTTTTTAAATGGTAACATTTTCAACTCTGTATATTTTATATAAATTGTGCAATTATGTTAATACAATCACCTATTTATATATTATGTTAATTTATTCTACGTTGTATCTCATTATGTTAATTATCCCACCCCAATCTACCTGCAAGCCACACCCCCGACTGCCGAGTGCTAAATCAATTTAAATTTTCTTAACGCTCCAGGGGCATCTTTAACACGACGATGGGCTCCTGGAAGCCCTCGTTATTAACGTTACCGATTGCCCCCAGGGCATTTTGTATTTCCAATCTGATCTAACGTTTTTTTGCCGCTCCCCCAACCACCACGTAAACACAAGAACCGAAACGTTTGAATCGATTCCCCGATTCCATTTCAACCACACTCTGGTGATGTAGGAATCGATTCGCACCCCACGCCACCAAACCCGAATCGTCAAACAAGCGGGAGGGGAATCGATTCCCCCGGTTGTATACCCAATAGATCCGAGGAATCGATTTATCGAGGCCAGTTTCGTTTCCTGTCACAACTTGGACCAATTAGCTAAGCTACCGACGTATCAATTAGCTAAGCTACCGACGTATTAAATAGCTAAGCTACCGACGTGCTAATTAGCTAAGCTACTGGTACCAATTAAAGCCGCTGTCTCTTCCCCTAATTGAGAGGTTGAGGCGAGAAGCTTTAGGCGCTCAAATAGGCCTGAAACGCGAGCCTTCGGTAACGAGTTGTTGAGGTAATTGTTGTTGTTGTTGAGGTAATTGTTGTTGTTGAGGTAATTGTTGTTGTTGTTGAGGTAATTGTTGTTGAGGAAATTGTTGTTGAGGTAATTGTTGTTGTTGAGGTCATTGTTGTTCTTGTTGAGGTCATTGTTGTTGAGGAAATTGTTGTTGAGGTAATTGTTGTTGAGGTAATTGTTGTTGTTGAGGTAATTGTTGTTGTTGAGGTAATTGTTGAGGTAATTGTTGTTAAGGAAATTGTTGTTGTTGAGGTAATTGTTGTTGAGGAAATTGTTGTTGAGGTAATTGTTGTTGAGGTAATTGTTGTTGTTGAGGTGATTGTTGAGGTAATTGTTGTTGTTGAGGTATATATTGTTCTTGTTGAGGTCATTGTTGAGGTAATTGTTATTGTTGAGGTCATTGTTGAGGTAATTGTTGTAGCTGAGGTAATTGTTGTTATTGTTGAGGTAATTGTTGAGTTAATTGTTGTTGAGATAAGTTGAGGTAATTGTTGAGTTAATTGTTGTCGAGTTGTTGAGGTAATTGTTGTTGAGGTAATTGTTGTTGAGGTAATTGTTGTTGAGTTAATTGTTGTCGAATTAATTGTTGAGGTAATTGCTAAAGTTGTTGAGTTATTCGTTGTCGAGCTAATCGTTGTCGGGTCAATTATTTTATTGTTTCCCTTCAACGTGACTTTACCGAAAGAACCAAGAAGATGAATTACTGCAGTCGCGAAAGCTTTAAATCAAAATTTGGGTCAACTGTTGTCGAGATAATTGTGGCTTTGCAGAGTCCCGGGTCACCGATTCATCGAGAAGGCTGAGGCTGAGGCGATGGACACGATGAAGCCCTCTGCCCTGGAGAATGACTTCTGCTACGGGACCAACGTGGCAAGCGCCCACGTCTCCATCCGCATGGGTGAGTTACAACGGTGACGTCATCACGCTGGCCGTGTCGGTGACGTCATCACGCCGGCCGTGTCGGTGACGTCATCGCGCCGGCCGTGTCGGTGGGGTCATCGCGCCGGCCGTGTCGGTGAGGTCATCACGGTGGTCGTGTCGGTGAGGTCATCACGCTGGCCGTGTCGGTGAGGTCATCACGGTGGTCGTGTCGGTGAGGTCATCACGGTGGTCGTGTCGGTGAGGTCATCACGGTGGTCGTGTCGGTGAGGTCATCACGGTGGTCGTGTCGGTGCGTTCACCACACTGGCCGTGTGAGTGGGGTCATCACTCTGGCCGTGTCGGTGAGGTCATCACGGTGGCCGTGTCGGTGAAGTCACCACACTGGCTGTGTGAGTGGTTTCACCACACTGGCCGTGTCGGTGGTTTCACCACACTGGCCGTGTCGGTGAGGTCATCACGGTGGCCGTGTCGGTGAGGTCATCACGCTGGCCATGTGAGTGGGTTCACCACACTGGCCGTGTGAGTGGGGTCACCACACTGGCCGTGTGAGTGGGTTCACCACATTGGCTCATAATTATCGGTGCCAGAGATCAGGTTTCAGGCCTTGGGGTTTTAGCTCTGCCAGGGGGTTCACGATGGCCGTGTTGGAGTCACTGAGATTCTGAGTTCAGGTTGTCTCAGGGGGGTTATTAATGGCCGGTTGACTGCTGCTCGCCAATAACTACCTCGCCTGGTATACAGGAGGTCGTGGGTTCGATCCTGACCCTGACGCCTGCTGCTGTATATTTGGAGTTTGCGTGTCTCTCTCTCATCATCATCACGGTGGCTAGGAGATGTTAACTACCTCGCCTGGTATACAGGAGGTCGTGGGTTCGATCTCGACCCTGATGCCTGATGTATATTTGGAGTTTGCGTGTCTCTCTTTCATCATCATCACGGTGTCTAAGAGATGTTAACTACCTCGCCTGGTATACAGGAGGTCGTGGGTTCGATCTCGACCCTGATGCCTGATGTATATTTGGAGTTTGCATGTCTCTCATCATCATCACGGTGTCTAGGAGATGTTAACTACCTCGCCTGGTATACAGGAGGTCGTGGGTTCGATCTCGACCCTGATGCCTGATGTATATTTGGAGTTTGCGTGTCTCTCTCTCATCATCATCACGGTGTCTAGGAGATGTTAACTACCTCGTCTGGTTTACAGGAGGTGGTGGGTTTCGTTCTCGACCCTGACGCCTGCTGTATATTTGGAGTTTGCGTGTCTCTCTCCCCGTGGTCGCGTGGAATTTTTCTGTGGGTCCTCCGGTTTTTCCCTCCACATTTAGAATCAACGTCACGCGTTTAAGGAATTTGGTTGCTGCTGTAATTTCCCACGTGATAATGATGATGACGTTGAGCTGCTATCATTGCTGCTATCATTTGTGGCAGCCAGGGTCGCTTCTGAAAAAGAGTTACACAGCTCAGATGGGGCCTTACCTGGCAAAATAAAAACAATAGTTTATATAGTTGATCATCGATTATCCGGCTGCTTCCAAAATTATTCAGCCGTCCTAGGCCGATCCGGCAAAGCCGTTTCAGAGGCTGTCGGCGTGACAAAAAAAAATAGCTACGCTTGAATTAGGTATCAAATATTTTTTTCCGGGACATGATACACTACATACAACTCAAACAATGAAAATACTGTACGTGTATACACACCACCCCATGATGCAAAGGTCTTCGAGATTGGAGTTGAGAGTACGGTGCAGTAAGCGCAGTCACTTTTTTTTTTTACAGGAGGATTTTTATTTTGTCTACTTGCATGTTTATCCGTGCCAATTTCACGTTGTTAACGAAATAAAAATGCTACGAGACAAAAAAAAACCATTCAACAGCACCAGAAAGCATAACGGCATGCAAGACCCTCGTAAAAAAATTTGCCGTTTCAAGTAGTGATTTTGGCGATTATCCCGGCGCTTTTGAAAATCCGGCGTCATCCCCCACCCCCGGAGCCGCTGGATAATTATCGGTGATCTCCCGCAGTTTTTGTCGATTGTAATGATAATAAAAAATTCATCAAGCGCCCTTTAACGATCGTTCTCACGGCACTGCGCTTGCCCCAGCAAGCTTGTTGAAGGCCACACGTGGTGGTGGTGGTGGGGTGAATCTTTCGTCTGTGGTTCTCGCTCTCGCAGGCTTCTTGCGCAAGGTCTACGCCATCCTCTCGGCGCAGATCCTGCTCACGGTGGCCGTGGCGGCGCTCATGGACTGGAGCGACGTCGTCGAGGACTTCGTTCAGAAGAAGTGAGCCACTGCCGCCGGGGCCCCCCCCCCCCCCTCCTTTAGACGTCGCCGACGGCGTCGTCATCATCGTCGTCATCGTCGTCGCCATCAGCGGAATTATTTTCGGCGGCAGCAGCATCATCGTCATCATCATCAGCAGAATTATTGTCAGCAGCAGAATCGTCGTCATCGTCTTCGTCGCCATCAGCGGAATTATTATCGGCAGAATTATTATCAACATCATCGTCGTCATCATCGTCGCCAACAGCAGAATTATTATCAGCATCATCATCATCGTCACCACCAGAATTATTATCAGCAGCACCATTATCGTCATAATCGTCAACATCAGCAGAGTTATTATCGGCAGAATTATTTTCAACATCATCGTCGTCGCCGTCAGCAGAATTATCATCAACATTGTCATTATCGTCACCACCATCATCATCAGCAGCAGCAGAATTATCAGCATCATCGTCACTATCAGTAGAATTAGCATCATCATCGTCAGCAGCAGAATTATCAGCAGCATCATCATTGCCTTCGCCAAAATGATCATCATCATTACCGTCGTCATCACCATCAGCAGAATTATCAGCATCATCACCATTCATCACAATAGCAGCAGCAACATGATTAGCATTGTCGTGTTTCTCCTCCCCGTGTCCTCCCCGCGTGTCCCCCCCGCGTGTCTCCAGCTCGTGGGTGATGCTCATCTCGTGCGTGCTGTCCATGGGGTTGCTGCTTGCCCTCTTCGCCAAGCGTCGCGATCACCCCACCAACCTCATCCTCCTCTTCGCTTTCGTGAGTCTGCCACGGCCTGGTCGGCAGGTTCATAATAGCCGTGTCAGTGCCTTGATGGAGAAACCACAGACTCGCAAAGAGACCCACAGACTCGTACAGAGACTTATAGACTCACACAGAGACTCACAGGCTCGCACAGAGACCCACAGGCTCACACAGAGACCTACAGGCTCACACAGAGACCCACAGGCTCACACAGAGACCCAGAGACTCGCAAAGAGACCCACAGGCTCGCACAGAGACCCACAGACTCGTACAGAGACCCACAGAATCGCACCGAGACCCAGACTCACACAGAGACCCACAGACTCGCACAGAGTCCCACAGACTCACCCCACAGACCCACAGACTCACCCCACAGACCCACACACTCACACAGAGACCCACAGACTCGCACAGAGACCCACAGACTCACACAGAGACCCACAGACTCACCCCACAGACCCACAGACTCGCACAGAGACCCACAGACTCACACAGAGACCCACAGACTCACCCCACAGACCCACAGACTCGCACAGAGACCCACAGACTCACCCCACAGACCCACAGACTCACACAGAGACCCACAGACTCACCCCACAGACCCACAGACTCACACAGAGACCCACAGACTCACACAGAGACCCATAGACTCGCATAGAGACTCACAGACTTACACAGAGACCCACAGACTCACACAGAGACCCACAGGCTCGCACAGAGACCCACAGGGCTGGGTCAAACCAGCACAGCTCTAACCATCGCACCGTGATGCTTGGATCACCTTGGTGGTGGAGATTTTGTTGTTGGTGGTGGTGGTGTTGGTGGTGTTGGAGATGTTGTTGATGATGATGTTATTGTTGATGGTGGTGGTATTGAGGGGATGCCCCGAGTGAGCCGCATTGACTTTGTGCTGCGTTTTTTTCCTGCAGACTCTGGTGGAGGCGTTCACGCTAGGGGTTGTGGGTAAGTGGTGTCCGTGCCGCCCTGTGTGTGTATACTTACGTGTGTGTGTGTGTGTATGTCTCTTGGCCAAACCCCATTTGTGCGGAGCCAGGAGACTGAACCCTTAACCTCGGGGCTCCTCCAAAAACAGCAAAAAGGCATTGTGGGTCGCCACGTGGATTGTTCTAATGCTCATTGCGAAGGAGAGGTTGCCACTCCTCTGTCGGGAGCTGGACCGGTACCACCTGGGTCTCTGTGGTATTCAGGAGGTCCGGTGGACCGGCTCTGGCTCCTGCTACCATGAGGGGTGGACAGTCCTCTACTCGGGGCAGCAGACTGCCAAACAACAGTGAGTGGCTCTTCTTCTGAACCAAATAATTAAGGGGGTGTGGGAGTGTGGCGGTGAGGTGTGGGAAGCTGTAAGCCCCAGGATACTGTGGGCTCGCCTTCCCATCAGCCAGAGGCGAGGAGTGATTGTCTTGGTTACTGATACCCCCACCGAAGATGAGCATCAGTGGAGGGATGCAGGAAAGGCCGATGAGTCTGATGTCTTCGATGACATCCTGTTACAGGTGCTAGCTAAAGTCACCCTCTTGGGTGACTTTAATGCCGGGAGTGAGTCATGATGCTGGCACCTGGGCTGAAGTGATTGGAAGGATGCTGGCACCTGGGCTGGAGTGATTGGAAGGCATGGGCCAGATCAGTTCAATAACGGTGGGCGACTGATAGACTTACACGCAGTCCATGGGCTTGTAATTACCCATACGCTGTTCTGGCATCGGCGCATCCACAAAACATCATGGATGCACGCCGGGTACGGCAAGAACAGTGGCTGGACTTTTGACAGTGATGGAACAGCAGATGCGAGACCATGTGATGGTATGATCGTGGTCAGGCCCGGGTAAAACTACGTGGCTGGGAGGCGGAGTCATTCCCTGTTCATCTTGGGGTGCAACAGGGATGCCCCCTGGCTCCCACATTGTTTAACATCTTTTTCGAGCACGTAGTTCGTGAAATGATGTGGTACAGGAGGACGTGGAGCTGAGTGGACTTGCCGATGACTGGTACCAGCGGTGTCAAGATCGGCCTCTGTGGAGGAGGCTCGTGAAGGACGCTACTGGGCAGTTGGAGGCAGTCGCCCTCCAATAACAACGGAGGGCGGAGGAGCGACGCTCACAACAACGAGCGGAGCGCCGGGTGGCTAAAGCACAGCAAGTTGGCACAGTAGGGGGCACGGGTGGTGCACCAGCCAGTCATCTCAGTCGACCCTTGCCATCTGGGTCTGCCCCGTGACCTCGTGCCAGCGGGCGTTCGACACTTCACTTGGCCTCAACGTGCACATGGCCTGGCACAGGCGTCGTGGTGACGTCACCACGACTTAGTGGCGAATGGCGGTTGTTGTTGTATCTCTGTATGTGTATCTCTTTGTGTGTATCTCTGCGTGTGGGTGTGCAGTGACGTTCTACGACCACGCCGTGGTGTTCCAGGCGTGCGTCCTCACGGCCGCCGCCTTTGTGGGCCTCACCGCCTACACCCTGCAGACAAAGAGGGACTTCAGCCGCATGGGGACCGGGTGAGTTCTGGCCCAGTCCACCCAGGGGGAGGCCAGTGCACCCACTAGTCCGTCCTCCAGTCCGTCCTCCAGTCCGTCCTCCAGTCCGTCCACCCATCCGTCCGCCAGTCCGTTCATCCACCCGCCCATCCACCGACCCGCCCGCGGCGCTCGCTACGGTGGAGTGTCGATTGTAGCGCTAACCGCACCGCCACCGTTCAGGGGGTGGGTTGGGCGGGGGTCCAGCTTTCATTGTGTGGTGGTGCTATCCGCTGTGTGCGTGTGTGTGTGCAGTTGGCACAGTAGGGGGGCACAGGCGGTGCATCGGCCAGTCATCTCAGTCAGTCGACCCGTGGCACCTGCTTGGGTCTGCCCCGTGACCTCCTGCCAGCGGGCGTTCGACACTTCACGTGGCCTTAACGTGCACCTGGCCTGGCACAGGCGTCGTGGTGACGTCACCGCCACTTAGTGGCGAATGGCGGTTGTGTGTCACAGGGGGAGCGGTGGTGTATTGGTTAGCGGCGTGGCGCTATGAACCCGGCGACCCGAGTTCAATTCCTGCTCACGGCCCACACCAGTGACGATTAATATTAACTGGTCCTCCCCTAGATCGACTCGGCCTCAAATTAGTACTGAGCGTGATGTGTCAAACATCGCCACTGGGGAGACAAAGACGGCTGGGCGTGGCGTAGGCCATCCATCCCCTCGTGTGTCGTGCCGGCCTGCTGCTAAGGCTGTACGGGGGGGGGGTCTTTGTGTGTGTGTGTGGGGTGCAGGCTCTTTGCGGGCCTCTGGATATTGATCATCGCTGGATTTCTTGGGGTGAGCAATAAGACGCCTATCCTCATCACCTCCCTGTCTCCTCCCCTCTCCTTGATGAATCTCCACATCCCATCTTGGTGTCTCCCAGTATCTCCCCTCCCCAACACCTCTCCCCACATCTCACCTCTTCCTCCATCTCTCTCCCCCCCCCCTCTAACCTCTCTCCTGTCTCTCCTCTCCCTCCATCTAGCCTCTCCCTCCCCCGTCTCTCCTCCCCCCACCCCGTCTCTCCTCCCCCCCCCCCCCCCCCGTCTCTCCTGTCTCTCCTCTCTCCCCACCCCATCTCTCCTCTCTCCTCCCCCCCTCCCTGGTCTCTCCTCTCCCTCCATCTAACCTCCCCCGTCTCTCTCTCCCCCCCCCCCCCCCCCCCGTCTCTCCTCTCTCCTCTCCCTCCATCTAGCCTCTCCCTCCCCCGTCTCTCTCTCCCCCCCTGGTCTCTCCTCTCTCCATCTAACCTCTCCCTCCCCCCCCCCGTCTCTCCTGTCTCTCCTCTCCCTCCATCTAACCTCTCCCCCCCCTCTCTCCTCTCCCCTGATCTAACCCCCCCCCCTCCCGTCCCCAGCTGTTCCTGCGCTACCCGCTGGTGGAGCTGGCGCTTGCCGGTGGCGGTGCGCTGCTGTTCTGCGGCTTCGTGGTGTGGGACACCCAGCGGCTGCTGCACCGCCTCTCCCCCGAGGATTTCGTGGAGGGCGCCGTCTCCCTCTACCTCGACCTCATCAACCTCTTCCTCTACATCCTGCGCCTGCTGGAGGCCGTGCGGCGCAAGTGAGAGTGCAGGACGGCGTGGGTGGGGGGGGGGAGTGGTGGTGGGCCACCTCTCGCTCTCTAGCTCATACACTCGTTCAACACCTAGCACACTCGCTCACTAACTACTACACTCACCACCTAGTACACTCACCACCACCTAGTACACTCGCTCACTAACTACTACACTCACCACCTAGTACACTCGCTCACTAACTACTACACTCACCACCTAGTACACTCACCACCACCTAGTACACTCGCTCACTAACTACTACACTCACCACCTAGTACACTCACCACCACCTAGTACACTCGCTCACTAACTACTACACTCACCACCTAGTACACTCGCTCACTAACTACTACACTCACCACCTAGCACACTCGCTCACTACCTAGTACACTCGCTCACTAACTACTACACTCACCACCTAGTACACTCGCTCACTAACTACTACACTCACCACCTAGTACACTCACCACCTAGTACACTCACCACCACCTAGTACACTCGCTCACTAACTACTACACTCACCACCTAGTACACTCACCACCTAGCACACTCGCTCACTAACTACTACACTCACCACCTAGTACACTCGCTCACTAACTACTACACTCACCACCTAGTACACTCACCACCTAGTACACTCACCACCACCTAGTACACTCGCTCACTAACTACTACACTCACCACCTAGTACACTCACCACCTAGCACACTCGCTCACTAACTACTACACTCACCACCTAGTACACTCGCTCACCACCTAGTACACTCGCTCACCACCTAGTACACTCACCACCTAGTACACTCACCACCTAGTACACTCGCTCACCACCTAGTACACTCGCTCACTAACTACTACACTCACCCCCTAGTACACTCGCTCACTACTACACTCACCACCTAGTACACTCGCTCACTACCTAGTACACTCACCACCTAGCACACTCGCTCACTAACTACTACACTCACCACCTAGTACACTCGCTCACTAACTACTACACTCACCACCTAGTACACTCGCTCACTAGTTACTACACTCACCACCTAGTACACTCGCTCACCACCTAGTACACTCGCTCACTAACTACTACACTCACCACCTAGTACACTCGCTCACTAGTTACTACACTCACCACCTAGTACACTCGCTCACCACCTAGTACACTCGCTCACTAACTACTACACTCACCACCCAGTACACTCGCTCACCACCTAGTACACTCACCACCTAGTACACTCACTCACCACCTAGTACACTCGCTCACTAACTACTACACTCACCACCTAGCACACTCGCTCACCACCTAGTACACTCACTCACCACCTAGTACACTCGCTCACTAACTACTACACTCACCACCTAGCACACTCGCTCACCACCTAGTACACTCGCTCACTAACTACTACACTCACCACCCAGTACACTCGCTCACCACCTAGTACACTCACCACCTAGTACACTCGCTCACTAACTACTACACTCACCACCTAGTACACTCACCACCTAGCACACTCGCTCACTAACTACTACACTCACCACCCAGTACACTCGCTCACCATCTAGTACACTCACCACCACCCGGTACACTCGCTCACCAGCGAGTACACTCATTCAGCGAGCACTCACTAGCAGCCAGCCAGTACTGCTGTTTCTCACCGGTACACCAATTCGTTAAGTCATCCATTCACTCACCCACATTCTGTCTGTCTCTCTCACACAGTGTATGGAATGTGATATTTGTAAAGGAGGAGACTAATATATATGTAAATGATATTCCTGTGCACATGTAAACCTGCAATCTATGGGAGGCTGGTGGGGTTACCGTGATTTCTGCTGTTGCGGTCTTCGGGGTGAGGGGGAGTGGTGGGGGTGACCTCGCGACTCCCCGGCGTTTTCCAACTCGGCTTCGCAGTGTCTGTGACACAAACTCTGTGCGTGCGTGACGCGCCCGGTGTGACGCCCAGTGTGACGCGCGCATTGTGATGCCCGCACTCTGGTGAACGGTGTGACGCACTTGTGACGCACTTGTTGTGACGCACTTGTTGTGAAGCGCGTGCTGTGATGCCCGATGTGATGCCCGGTGTGATGCCCGGTGTGATGCCCGCGCTGTGACGCGCCCGGTGTGACGTGCCCGGTGTGACGTGCCGCGCTGTGACGCCCGGTTTGACGCCAGGTGCGATGCCAGGTATGACGTGAGTGTGTGCGTGTGTGTGACGAGCGGTGGCGACCACCGGAACGGGACACGCACGCACACACACACCCACACCCTCCCTAAACCTGTCAGACAAAAAACGAGCGCTGAAAGTATTTGCCTTGCCGGCCAAGGTGGACACCACGGCGGTTGTGGCCATCCCCCACCACCACCCCACCCCCAGACTTTAGCGGCGGCGGCGGCAACGTTGCTCCGACTTACCGGCCCGACATGCGATTGTGCCGGTTCGGGCCGGCGTTGCGGCCCCCGAGATTTGGTCGGGCGTTGCTCGACGCCTTCGCCTCCGAAGCGCCGACGGATTCTTCCCCGCCGACTCGAGACGTCCGCGTGGGCGCTGGGGAATCCGTGCGTGCGCCTGGTTCTTCTTCCACCCCCACCCTGCCCTCCTTGCCCCCCGGCCCCCCGCTCTCCCCTCCCCTAGGGTGTCTTGTCTGCGTTTCGTTCTTTCGTTCTCCGGTTACGATGGATAATTCATTATCGTATTTGTCAGCCGTGCCGCAACTGACATGGCCCACTGTAGTGGCGTGGGGGGGTGCGGACAGTATGTACAGTGCAAGCATTTTTCTGCAGTGTGCACTGTGCAAACAGTGTGGACAGTTCGGACAGTGCGGACAGTGCAGACTGTTTTGTACAGTGTGCGCCGTGCAATCAGTTTGGATAGTGCGGACAGTGTATACCGTGCAGGCAGTTTTGTACAGTGCGCACAGTGCAATCAGTTTGCGGAGACCGTGTATACAGTGCACTGTTTTGCACAATTAGTACAGTGCAAACAGTTGTACAGTGCGCACAGCGCAAGCCGTTTTGTACAGTGCCCCCACTCCACTCTGTGCGTGTGTCTGGCTGCGTTTTCCCTTTGGCGTGGTGGGCCAAGCACAGCTTGATTGCAATGCAAGTCGCTTACAATCCCCATTGTCAAATTTGTCAATAAAATTAATGTTGGGCACTCTCTTGGTTTGTGTGTGTAGTGGTGAGTGTATGCAGTGGTGAGTGTGTTTGTGCAGTGGTCTGTAGTGGTGAACGTGTGTGCAGTGGTGAGTGTAGTGGCGAGTCTGTGTGCGGTTGGCACAGCTGGTGCATCTGCCAGTCACCTCAGTCAACCCATGGCAACCTGCTGGGTCTGTCTCGTGACCTCCTGCCAGCAGCGAGCCTTCGTCACTTCACGTGGCCTCAAAGTGCACCTGGGCCTGGCACACAAGACCTACAGTGACGTCGCCGCCTCTTAGTGGCGAATGGAGGATGACCCGTGTGTGGATCGTGGATTACCCGTGCGTGGATTAACCGTGGGTGGATTGTGGATCACCCGTGCGTGGATTAATCGTGGGTAGATCGTGGATCACCCGTGGGTGGATTAACCGTCGGTGGATTGTGGATCGCCCATGGGGGGATGACTTCCCCAACTCACCGGCGAGGCTGGATATGAGTGGATGCGCCCTCCTAAAAACGACGGGATCTTGAGACTCGCCAAAGCGTTCCCGTGTGCGTGCGTCAATGGCGCAGCGGTCAGCGCTACGAACCCGGCGACCCAAGTTCGATTCCGCGCTCATGGCCACCAACACCAGTGACGATTATCTGAACTGGTGCTGGGCTTCCCCTAGGTCGACTCAGCCTCAAATGAGTACCCGGTGGGGTGTGTTAACATCGCCACTGGGGAGACAAAGGCGGCCGGGCGTGGTGTTGGCCACCCACCCCCTCGTGTGCCTCTTCCAGCCTTCAAAGGTGTTGCTACTCGTTGACAGCACTTGCCCCTACAGTCTGTTAAAGATACACGGGGATCTTTGTCTTCATATATATCTCCATACAAATAAATAAAGCCATTAACCTCACGAATAATCAGCAAGTAAATAGCCAACACTTTAATAAATCAAAACATTGCAGATGATCGTCTTTGGCACCAGCAGAATTAACCCGAGTGTCGACAGTTACAGAAATCAACGAGCGATTGTCGCTAGCGATTGTCGCTAACAAGCGAGCGACGCTAACGAACGTCACTAACGAGTGACACTAACGAGCGTCACTAATAAGCAGTCGTTAATAACGAGCGTCGAGCATCCCTAACAAGTGTCGTTAATGAGCGAACATCGCTAGCGAGCATCGCTTGCGAGCGCACCTCTCTAACGTTCTCCCTGAGCCCTTGACCCTCCCCCAGAGGAGATGCATTGTGGGAGTTTCCCACCGTCCGTGCCGAACAGCCAATCGGATTCACTCGTAGTGGGTTGTTCTGGGGCTGCACTGCCACGGCGTCTCTGGGTTTAGTGGTGGTGGTTGGGAGTGGTGGTTGGTAGTGGTGATGGTATTGGTGGTTGGTAGTGATGGTGGTAGTAGAGGTGGTGGTAGTGGTGATGGTAGTGGTGGTTGGTAGTGGTGGCAGTGGTGGTAGTGGTGGTGGTAGTGGCGGTAGTAGTGGTGGTGGTGGTAGTGGTGGCGGTGACAACAGCGTCAGCGCAACCGCGAAAAAACATTCCGCGAGGTTCAGCAGAATTAGCATCCGCATCATCATCGTCAGCAGCAGAATTATCAGCAGCATCATCATTGTCAGCAGCAGGAGAACTATCAGCATCATCGTTGCCTTCACCAAAATTATCACCATCAGCATTATCATTATAATAGTCATCAGAATTATCATCGTCATCACCATCAGCAGGATTATCATCAGCATCATCACCATTCATCACAATAGCAGCAGCAACATGATTAGCATTGTCGTGTTTCTCCTCCCCGTGTCCCCCCGCGTGTCTCCAGCTCGTGGGTGATGCTCATCTCCTGCGTGCTGCTTATGGGGTCGCTGCTTGCCCTCTTAGCCAAGCGTCGCGATGACCCCTCCAACCTCTTCCTCTTCTTCGCTTTCGTGAGTCCGCCACGGCCTGGTCGGCAGGTTCATAATGGCCGTGTCAGTGCCTTGATGGAGAAACCGCAGACTCGCACAGAGACCCACAGGCTCGCACAGAGACCCATAGACTCACACAGAGACCCACAGACTCGCACAGAGACCCACAGACTCGCACAGAGACCCACAGACTCGCACAGAGACCCACAGACTCGCACAGAGACTCAGACTCGCAGAGACCCACAGACTCACACAGAGACCCACAGACTCGCACAGAGACCCACAGACTCACACAGAGCCCCACAGACTCGCACAGAGACCCACAGACTTGCACAGAGACTCAGACTCGCAGAGACCCACAGGCTCGCACAGAGACCCACAGACCCATGGGGCCGGGTCAAACCAGCACAGCGCTAACCTTCGCACCGTGATGCTTCATTATCAGTATTCTTTATTATTTTTGGATCACCTTGGTGGTGGAGGTTTTGTTGGTGGTGGTGTTGGTGATGTTATTGTTGTTGGTGGTGGTGGTGGTATTGAGGGGATGCCCCGAGTGAGCCGCGTTGACTTTTTGCTGCGTTTTTTTTTCCTGCAGACTCTGGTGCAGGGGTTCTCGCTGGGGTATTTGGGTAAGTGGTGTCCGTGCCGCCCTGTGTGTGTATACTTACGTGTGTGTTTGTATGTCTCTTGGCCAATCCCCATTTGGCCGAGCCTGGAGACTGAACCCTTAACCTCGGTGTTCCTCCAAAAACAGCAAAAAGCCATTGCGGGTTGCCACGTGGAATGTTCGAATGTTCATTGCGAAGGAGAGGTTGCCACTCCTCTGTCGGGAGCTGGACCGGTACCGCCTGGATCTCTGTGGTATTCAGGAGGTCCGATGAGGGGTGGACAGTCCTCTACTCGGGGCAGCAGAATGCCAAACAACAGGGAGTGGCTCTTGTTCTGAACCAAATAATTAAGGGGGTGTGGGAGTGTGACGGTGATGTGTAGGAAGCTGTAAGCCCCAGGATACTGTGGGCTCGCCTTCCCATCAACCAGAGGCGAGGAGTGCTGGTCTTGGTTACTGATACCCCCCACCGAAGATGAGCATCAGTGGAGGGATGCAAGAAAGGACGATGAGTCGGATGCCTTCGATGACCTCCTGTCACAGTTGCTGGCTAAAGTCACCCTCTTGGGTGACTTTAATGCCGGGAGTGAGTCATGATGTTGGCACCTGGGCTGGAGTGATTGGAAGGATGCTGGCACCTGGGCTGGAGTGATTGGAAGACATGGGCCAGATCAGTTCAATAACAACGGTGGAAGACTGATAGACTTCCACGCAGCCCATGGGCTTGTAATTACCCATACGCTGTTCTGGCATCGGCGCATCCACAAAACATCATGGATGCACGCCGGGTCTGGCAAGAACAGTTTCTGGACTTCATAGTGATGAAACAACAGATGCGGAACCATGTGATGGTATTATGGTGGGCAGGCCTGGGTAAAACTACGTGGCTGGGAGTCGGAGTCAGTCGCTGTTCATCTTGGGGTGCAACAGGGATGCCCCCTGGCTCCCACATTGAGTGGACTTGCTGATGACTGGTACCAACGGTGTCAAGATCGGCCTCTGTGGAGGAGGCTCGTGAAGGACGCTACTGGGCAGTTGGAGGCAGTCGCCCTCCAACAACAACGGCGGGCGGAGGAGCGACGCTCACAACAACGAACGGAGCGCCGGGTGGCTAAAGCACAGCAAGTTTGCACAGGAGTGCAAACCAGTAATCTCAGTCGACCCTTGGCATCTGGGTCTGCCCCGTGACCTCGTGCCAGCGGGCGTTCGACACTTCACGTGGCCTCAACGTGCACATAGCCTGGCACAGGTGCCGTGGTGACGTCACCGCCACTTAGCGGCAAATGGCGGTTGTTTTTGTTGTATCTCTGTATGTGTATCTCTTTGTGTGTATCTCTGCGTGTGGGTGTGCAGTGACGTTCTACGACCACGCCGTGGTGTTCCAAGCATGCGTCCTCATGGCCGCCGCCTTTGTGGGCCTCACCGTCTACACCCTGAAGACCAAGAGGGGCGCCAGCCGCATGGTGACCGGGTGAGTTCTGGCCCAGTCCACCCAGGGGGAGGCCAGTGCACCCACTAGTCCGTCCTCCAGTCCGTCCTCCAGTCCGTCCTCCAGTCCGTCCACCCATCCGTCCGCCAGTCCGTTCATCCACCCGCCCATCCACCGACCCGCCCGCGGCGCTCGCTACGGTGGAGTGTCGATTGTAGCGCTAACCGCACTGCCACCGTTCAGGGCAGGGGTCGGGAACCTTTTTGACCAAGAGAGCCATGAAAGCAAAAAATTTGGAAATTTATTTCAGTGAGAGCCATATAATATATTTTAAAAGTGAATTCAACTAAATGTCAGTATAATGAGCCTCTGAATTTATTCTTTTAAATAATGTTGTTATAACACTCACCATTAATGCGACTTCTGGTGCTGCATTGATTTGCTGATGTCTTTGTAGTCGGGTTGGTACTTGGTGAGGTTAAGCTTCATGCAAGCGTTGAGGCTTTCATCCGTTAAACGTGATCGTAGGTTGGACTTGATGTTTTTAAGATGTGAGAATGACTGCTCACATGCATACGTAGATCCAAACATGGTCAATACAGCAATACTCACACGCTGCAGTGTGTGGTATGTGACAGGAAGCGCGTTCCAAGTTTTGAGAATCAGCTGGTCTTCGGGTTGGAGTTTTTTCATTTCTGTCCACATGTGCTTGCTCGCCAACTCCGCTTTCTGTCTTGTGATTCTTTCCAAATCTTCATTCAGTGACTTGAACTTATTCACCCACATGTCTGAGGCCTTCAGGTCAGCCACTTCTGCTTCAAAATCTCTGACGGAGACACCAGGGATGTAATTCAGGTCGGCTGTGTTCAGTGAACACTCGTTTGGATGGGTGATGAACTTAAAAGACGAGTGTGCTCACGAAATTCTCCAAAGCGTGCTTTGAAGGACTGTAGGAGACTGGATGTGCAGCCAGCTAGCTGGTGGAGATCAAGGTTTTGAATGGGCTCACTTGCTGTGCATGCATCTTTAAATTGGCTCAGTTTTTCAAAATGTAGTAAACGACCTGTTTCAAGATCCGTGATGAAAAGCTCCAGCTTGTTTTCAAAAGCAAATACAGCTTGTTGAAGGGATAACACTGTATTTCCAATGCCTTGCATTTTCACGTTGAGCTGGTTCAGATGTTCAGTCAGATCTACGAGATAGTAAAACTTGAGGAGCCACTCGGTGTCGGCTAGCTCAGGATGCCCGACGCCTTTCATTTCAAGGAAAGTCCGGATTTCGTTCAGGCAAGCCGCAAAACGGCTAAGCACCTTCCCTCTTGACAACCAACGCACATTGCTGTGCAAAAGCAGACCAGGATAGTTATTTACAACTTCATCCAGCAGTGTTTTAAACTGGCGATCATTTAAGGCTCGGGCAACAATAAAGTTGATCACACGAATGACCAGCGACATCACTTCGCCAAACTGCCTGTCACACATCTGAGCACAAAGTGCCTCCTGGTGTATAATGCAATGGAAACTTAGGATGGGTCTATTTTCATGTTCACGGAGAAGCGCCACAAATGCTTTGTTTTTCCCCACCATACACGGAGCACCATCAGTACACACTGAGAGAAGTTTATCCATAGGTAGACTTTTTTCTTGAGCAAACTCCATGAAAGACTTGAATAAATCCTCACCTCTTGTGGACCCTTTTAATGGCAGAACAGCAAGACTTTCTTCGCGCAGTGTGTCACCAACAGCATATCTTGCAATCACGCTGAACTGCGACAAATGGCTCACGTCTGTTGACTCATCCAAAGCCAGAGAAAAGAACGGCGCTGCATTTATGTCCTTCACTTGCGTTTCCTCCACTTTGTTTGCCATCACGATGGTACGATCATGAACAGTTCTTGCCGACAGAGGCATGTCTTGTATCTGTTTGATTATCTTGTCTTTGTTCGGAAGATCATCAAAAAGTTCATTGGCTACATCCAGCATGAACGTTTTAGCATACTCGCCATCTGTGAATGGTTTTCCGTTCCTCACTATTGCTAAAGAACCAGCAAAGCTAGCCGAATTATAGTCACCTTGCCGGGTCCATACGCGGAGTTGCTGCTGGCTAGCTTGCACCCTGCTCAGAAGCTCTTGGCACGCTTTCTTTCTGCTGTCTCCCGCAGGGTATTTTGATGCAAAGGTAGCGTGGCGCGTGTCGAAGTGCCGCTTTACCTTCGACCGTTTCAACGATGTAATTTTGTCATTGCAAATTAGACACACCGCAGAACCCGCTCTCTCCACAAAGGCGAATTCTTCGGTCCATTCGTCCTGAAATGTACGATACTCGTCGTCTTTTTTTCTTTTCGCCATCTTCTTCGTCGAAGGGTTAGCTTTGAGCTAATGACCGAGCAGACGCAGTCTCAGACTGATTCAAAAGGGGGCGTTTACCTGTTTTACCCAGCAACGGCAAACGTAGGCCAGTATCATCCAATTAAAATAATGGACAATTGCTCCTGCAGCCCTGAACAGGACATGCGCAGTGAAAAATCGATGGATGGATTAAAACAAGTGAGAATATTTTGTTTTATCTGCGAGCCATATGCAATCATCAAAAGAGCCACATCTGGCTCGCGAGCCATAGGTTCCCGACCCCTGGTTCAGGGGGTGGGTTGGGCGGGGGTCCAGCTTTCATTGTGTGGTGGTGCTAACCGCTGTGTGCGTGTGTGTGTGCAGTTGGCACAGTAGGGGGGCACAGGCGGTGCATCGGCCAGTCATCTCAGTCATCTCAGTCAGTCGACCCGTGGCACCTGCTTGGGTCTGCCCCGTGACCTCCTGCCAGCGGGCGTTCGACACTTCACGTGGCTTTAACGTGCACATGGCCTGGCACAGGCGTCGTGGTGACGTCACCGCCACTTAGTGGCGAATGGCGGTTGTGTGTCACAGGGGAGCGGTGGTGTATTGGTTAGCGCGTTGCGCTATGAACCCGGCCACCCGAGTTCAATTCCTGCTCACGGCCAACACCAGTGACGATTAATATTAACTGGTCCTCCCCTAGGTCGACTCGGCCTCAAATTAGTACTGAGTGTGATGTGTTCAACATCGCCACTGGGGAGACAAAGACGGCTGGGCGTGGCGTAGGCCATCCATCCCCTCGTGTGTCGTGCCGGCCTTCTGCTAAGGCTGTACGGGGGGGGGGGGGGTCTTTGTCTGTGTGTGTGGGGTGCAGGTTCTATGCGGGCCTCTGGATATTGATCATCGCTGGATTTCTTGGGGTGAGCAATAAGATGCCTATCCTCATCACCTCCCTGTCTCCTCCCCTCTCCTTGATGAATCTCCACCTCCCATCTTGGTGTCTCCCAGTATCTCCCCTCCCCAACACCTCTCACCTCTTCCCACATATAACCCCCGCCCCGTCTCTCCTCTCTTTCCCTCCACCCCCTCCCTGGTCTCTCCTCTCTCCTCTCCCTCCATCTAACCTCTCCCTCCCCCCCCCGTCTCTCCTGTCTCTCCTCTCCCTCCATCTAACCTCTCCCCCCCCCTCTCTCCTCTCCTCTCCCCTGGTCTAACCCCCCCCCCCCACTCCCGTCCCCAGCTGTTCCTGCGCTACCTGCTGGTGGAGCTGGCGCTTGCCGGTGGCGGTGCGCTGCTGTTCTGCGGCTTCGTGGTGTAGGACACCCAGCGGCTGCTGCACCGCCTCTCCCCCGAGGATTTCGTGGAGGGCGCCGTCTCCCTCTACCTCGACCTCATCAACCTCTTCCTCTACATCCTGCGCCTGCTGGAGGCCGTGCGGCGCAAGTGAGAGTGCAGGACGGCGGGGGGGGGGGGGGGAGTGGTGGTGGGCCACCTCTCGCTCTCTAGCTCATACACTCGCTCACCACCTAGTACACTCGCTAGTACACATGCTCACTGGCTAATACACTTGCTCGTGTACTCACCACCGAGTACACTCGCTTACCACCTAGTACACTCGCTCACTAGCTAGTACACTCACCACCTAGTACACTCACCACCTAGTACACTCGCTCACTAGCTACTACACTCACCACCTAGCACACTCGTTCACTAGCTAGTACACTCACTACCTAGTACACTCACCACCTAGTACACTCGCTCACTAGCTAGTACACTCACTACCTAGTACACTCACCACCGAGTACACTCGCTCACCACCTAGTACACTCGCTCACTAGCTACTACACTCACCACCTAGTACACTCGCTCACCACCTAGTACACTCGCTCACCACCTAGTACACTCGCTCACTAGCTAGTACACTCACCACCTAGTACACTCACCACCTAGTACACTCGCTCACTAGCTAGTACACTCACTACCTAGTACACTCGCTCACCACCTAGTACACTCGCTCACTAGCTACTACACTCACCACCTAGTACACTCGCTCACCACCTAGTACACTCGCTCACTAGCTAGTACAGAGCGAGAGGTGGCCCACCCCCACTTCCCCCCTAGTACACTCACCACCTAGTACACTCGCTCACCACCTAGTACACTCGCTCACCACCTAGTACACTCGCTCACCACCTAGCACACTCGCTTACTAACTACTACACTCACCACCTAGTACACTCGCTCACTAGCTAGTACACTCACCACTTAGTACACTCGCTCACCACCTAGTACACTCACCACCACCCAGTACACTCGCTCACCAGCGAGTACACTCATTCAGCGAGCACTCACTAGCAGGCAGCCAGTACTGCTGTGTCTCACCGGTACACCAATTAATTCAGTCATCCATTCACTCAACCATCCACTCTCCTACACATTCGCTCACCCACATTCTCTCTGTCTCTCAAAGGAGGAAACTAATATATATTGTAATGATATTCTTGTACACATGTAAACCTGCAATCAATGGGAGGGTGATGGAGCTCTGTGATTTCTGTTGTTGCGGTCGACAGGGGAGGGGGGGAGGGGGGGTGGTGGGGGTGACCTCGCGACTCCCCAGCGTTTTCCAACTCGGCTTCGCAGTGTCTGTGTGTGATTAGCGCGTGTGTGACGCCTGGTGTGATGCCCGCACCATGATGAACGGTATAATCCACTTTATGTGAAGCACGTGCTGTGATGCCCGATGTGACGCTCGCGCTGCGACGCACGCGCTGTAACGCGCCCGGTGTGACGCGCCCGGTGTGACGCCCGCGCTGTGATGCCCGGTTTGACGCCAGGTGCGATGCCAGGTATGACGTGTGTGTGCGCCTGTGTGTGACGAGCGATGGCGACCATCCCACGCCACCGGAACGGGACACGCACGCGCACACGCCCACACCCTCCCTACACCTGTCAGACAAAAAACGAGCGCTGAAAGTATTTGCCTTGCCGGCCAAGGTGGACACCACGGCGTTGCCGGTTGTGGCCATCCCCCACCACCACCCCACCCCCAGACTTTAGCGGCGGCGGCGGCGGCAACGTTGCTCCGACTTACCGGCCCGACATGCGATTGTGCCGGTTCGGGCCGGCGTTACGGCCCCCGAGATTTGGTCGGGCGTTGCTCGGCGCCCGCCGGCCCCGACGTCCGAAGTCGGCCTTCGCCTCCGAAGCGCCGACGGATTCTTCCCCGCCGACTCGAGACGTCCGCGTGGGCGCTGGGGAATCCGTGCGTGCGCCTGGTTCTTCTTCCACCCCCACCCTCCCCCTGTGGTGGGACTTCTCTGCGTGTCGTTCTTTCATTCTTCGGTTGCGCGGCCAAAAAAAAAACCTCCGGCTCCGTCACGATGGATAATTAATAATCGTATTTGTCAGTCGTGCTGCGACTGGCGTGGCCCAGTGTAGTGGCGTGGGGGGGGGGGGGTACGGACAGTATGTACAGTGCAGACAGTTTTGTACAGTGCCCGCACCCCCACTCTGTGCGTGCGTCTGGCTGCGATTCCCTGTGGCGTGGTGGTGGTGGTGGTCGTGGGGCAAGCACAGCGTGATTGCAATGCAAGTCGCCTACAAGCCCCATTGTCAAATTTGTCAATAAAGTTAATGTTGGGCACTCAAGATTTGTGCCTGCAGTGGTGTGTTTGTAGTGGGGTGTGTGCGTGCAGTGGTGTGTGCAGTGGTGTGCAGTGGTGAGTGTACACTGTGCAGTGGTGAGTGTGGGTGGAGTGGTGTGTGTGGAGTGGTTGAGTGTGTGTAGTGGTGAGTGTGTGTAGTGGTGTGTGTGTGTAGTGGTGAGTGTGCGTGCGCTTTGGTGATTGTGTGTGTGTAGTGGTGTGTGTGTAGTGGTGTGTGTGTATTGGTGTGTGTGCAGTGGTGTGCGCATTGGTGATTGTGTGTGTGTAGTGGCGAGTCTGTGCGGTTGGCACAGCTGATTCATCTGCCAGTCACCTCAGTCAACCCATGGCAACCTGCTGGGTCTGTCTCGTGACCTCCTGCCAGCAGCGAGCCTTCGTCACTTCACGTGGCCTCAAAGTACACCTAGCCTGGCACACAAGACCTACAGTGACGTCGCCGCCTCTTAGTGGCGAATGGTGGACCACCCGTGGGTGGATCACCCGTGGGTGGATCACCCGTGGGTGGATCACCCGTGGGTGGATCACCCGTGGGTGGATGACTTTAACGGGGCGAGGCTGGATATGAGTGGACGCGGCCTCTGGGGCGACGGATTGGAAGCGGCGACCCTCGTGGCTTGCCCGCCGCCCGTTCAAAATCACCACCGTGGGCAGTGAACACAGCGAGGGTGGCAGCGCCCTCCTAAAAACAATGACGGAATCTTGAGACTCGCTAAAGCGTTCCCGTGCATGTGTGCGCGTGTGTGTATGTGCGTGCGTGTGTGTATGTGTGTGCGTGCGTGTGTGTATGTGTGTGCGTGCGTGTGTGTATGTGTGTGCGCGTGTGTATGCGTGTGCGCGTGTGTATATAAGGTCTGTGGCACAGCGGTCAGCACTACGAACCCGGCGACCCAAGTTCGATTCCGCGCTCACGGCCACCAACACCACAGTGACGATTATCTGAACCGGTGCTTGGCCTCATCCTCAAATGAGTACCCGGTGGGGTGTGTTGACATCGCCACTGGGGAGACAAAGGCGGCCGGGCGTGGTGCTGGCCACCAACCCCCTCGTGTGCCGTGCCGGACTTAATAGCTGCTGCTCGCTAACAGCACTTGCCCCTACAGTCAAGGCTACACGGGGATCTTTGTCTTCATATATATCTACATACAAATAAATAAAGCCATTAACCTCACGAATAATCAGCAAGTAAATAGCCAACACTTTAATAAATAAAAACATTGCAGATGATCGTCTTTGGCACCAGCAGAATTAACCCGAGTGTCGACAGTTACAGAAATAAACGAGTGATCGTCGCTAGCGATCGTTGCTAACGAGCGTCGCTAGCGAGTGAACATCGCTAACGAGTGAACATCGCTAGCGAGTGTTGCTAACGAGCGTCGCTCATGAGCATCTCTTGCGAGCGCACCTCTCTAATGTTCTCCCTGAGCCGTTAACCCTACCCCAGAGGAGATGCATTGTGGGAGTTTCCCACCGTCCGTGCCGAACAGCCAATCGGATTCACTCGAAGTGGGTTGTTCTGGGGCTGCACTGCCACGGCGTCTCTGGGTTTAGTGGTGGTGGTAGTGGTGGTAGTCGCGGTGGTGGTAGTGATGGTAGTGGTGGTTGGTAGTGGTGATAGTAGTGGTGGTGGTGGTTGGTAGTGGTGGTGGTAGTGGCGGTGGTGGTAATCGCGGTGGTGATAGTGATGGTAGTGGTGGTTGGTAGTGGTGATGGTAGTGGTTGTGGTGGTTGGTAGTGGTGGTGGTAGTAGCGGTGGTGATAGCGATGGTGGTAGTGGTGGTTGGTAGTGGTGGTGGTAGTAGCGATGGTGGTAGTGATGGTAGTGGTGGTTGGTAGTGGTGATGGTAGTGGTTGTGGTGGTTGGTAGTGGTGGTGGTAGTAGCGGTGGTGGTAGCGATGGTGGTAGTGGTGGTTGGTAGTGGTGGTGGTAGTAGCGATGGTGGTAGCGATGGTGGTAGTGATGGTAGTG